TAAAATTACACGGTAATTGACGGAACAGAGCGCAGAGATAGCCCGGACTGGAACGCACCAGCCTCTCCGGTGCAATCATGCGTTTTTGCGCAAAACGCGCAGATTGCTATTAGCAAGAACGATCCCTACGCTGTAGCCTAACACTTGAATCATATAGGCGTGCTTTGGTCCTTTCCGGCATGCAGGAGGAAGGACGTCAGTTGAGATGAAGGTGGTGCATTATAGAGCCGCATGGACATCCACGTGCATGATTAACGGTTTTTTGCATGAAGTCCGGTTGGTTTTTCGGTAAATGCTCGCTCTGTGAAAAAATGACAAATCCAAATTTTTTGAAAAAATGGAAATTTCCAGTTCACTAAAAAGTGGAAGTGTTGCTCGAGCGATCATTTGTCAAAAAATTCATTTTCATTTACATGTACGATTGCGGTTCAGGTCCGAGTTGCGAACGATTTTTAGGTTGAGGAGCTGCTTGAGGCTGTGGGGTGCTCGACAGCTTAGTTTAAAATCTTTAGCTACCACGTGCATAGAGAATATCTCTGCAAAGTTGCAGCTTTCTACGTTGCCTGGTTCGCGAAGTCGTTTCCCGCCAACATATTTCTTTAGGGTCCTGTACACGGGGTCTAGGCGCGTATGGGAAAAGATCTTAAAACGGAAGGATGACACGCAGGGTAGGAACATCTATCCAAAGTTTCAGCCTTCCAGCTTTCCTGGTTGCTGAGATGAAAGCGGGTGACGAAATGCACTCGCTTTCCGAACACACACACAGCCTCTCGACAATATGCGTTTTTGCTGGCTGGAGCAGCGCTACAGCGCTGCACAGCAAAAACGCATAAGAATGTTCAAACTACGATGAGGCCGACACAAGAAAGTGTTTTTTTGCACGGTCAATTAAAAAGCTGTTTGCGACAATTTTTACGTCCCGGACGTGAGGTGCATGGTAATTAGAGGCTGATTTCAGGCACATTTACATGCATATGCTGGTGGATCACGTTTGACAAAATTTTAGCCTAGTTCTGGTTGCCAAGTTACAAAACTATCAGTATCAACAGTTTCACTTACCCGTACATGGGGTATAGGGAAACGTGAAGATTGTTCTTACCTGCATTTATTCGCGTATTGTCGTGAAACAGGTTCACAAAATTTCAGCTTTCTCTCCATTCTGTTTATGGTTACTGAATTTGTTAACGATGTCTGTACATAAGATGTAGGAGGGAAGTGAGAACTGATTTCATGCCTTACATGTTTGCATTCTGTCATTAATGAGCTCGTGAAGTCTCAGCTTTCCAGTTGTTCTGGTTGCGAGGTTACAGGATTATCTGCGCTAACTTCCACGTTTTGTACACCAAATATGGACATACATAAAGCTGAATTCAATTTTTCCTGTTAAATATGGCAGAAAACACAACATAAAAAAATTTCAATTTTCTAACTGAACTCATTTCACGATATAATTTCTCGCCATGCGCAACGCCTACGCGTACCTGTATGTTCACTTTAGTGCCTTACAGGTCTGCAACATGGACAGCAAACTTTCGTAAAATCACAGATTTCTACGCAGTCTGGCTCTCCAATTAATATAGTACCTGCAGTGTTTTGGTTTAAAATTTGTTATATCCGTATGTAAGAAATAGGTTATGTGAAGATCGTATTTGTATTCCTTAGATTGTACATAGGCAGGAGAGGACATAAAGTTCCAGCTTTCTAAGTTGTTTGGTTCACGAAACTATTCTTTCACCAAAAAATCTTTCACCTGTCTGTACGTAGGAACCGAATCAAAATGAACGTTCATTTTAGATCTGGAAGTACATCTACAGTAGAGAAATTACTAAAATTTTGACTTTATAGGTTTTTTAGATCTCGAAATCGAACGAGTGGGTAAGAGCAAAAATTATGCAGAAAACTCAAGATGCTCAGTATTTATTTCCTTCAGTGAATGTGTGAATTTACAAACTCAGTAAGTTTTCGATGAAATTTCCCACAAAATTATTTTCTTCCCAAATATACAACCGTAAAATTTCCCGCTGACAAAGACATTCGTCACAAATGGATCACACTGGCTGAAAAGCGAATCTCTGACAAACAACGCCTGGCAAATTTTCGTCGCAGCTAATATCATCCCATAGTCCGAGTCGACTCTGATAATCCGCCGCGGCGCAAATAACATTCCTCCCACAGCAGCCATCTGGTTGTGATGGTCGCCATCGTGTATAAGTGACTGAATTGTATGTGAAAATTTGGTAGTCGTGTCTTTCAGCCACATCCTTATCTTGTGTTGGTATCATCCACTTATCATCAAGGTATTCAATACCGATCCAATATGGTCTACGACCTTTGCCGTCAGTGAAGACATCTTCAAAAAAATCAAAATGACCATTAGCTGCATTTGTGAAAATAAATTTAACAAAAATTCTGTAAGTTTTTCAACCTATTTTAGCGTGACATTTTGGGTGTTTTATTCTACCATTAACTTGCTTCTAAACAATGAAAGCATGAATAAAAAAACAAAAATTCAAATGAAGAAAAAAATTAAAATAAGAGCTTTGTATTTCGACCGGCTCAAGTACTAATTTAGCATAAAGAGACCTGCACTTCGCAAACACCTTTCTTATTGCAACAACGGTCATTAAAAAATCTTAAATTTTATTACATCGCAAAGACATTTTTTCTACACCCCTATTTCAGTTTTCTTTATTTGCAATTCGCGAAGAGCTTGGTTGCTTCTTGTTCGGTTATTAGAACAAAAAAAAACGATGGAAGGATTTAAGCGGGTTATTGCTACTTGACTGCTATTAGTGTGAATAGGTACAGGACCAACAAGCTCCGAGAGCAATGCATTGCAAAAAAGCAGACTTCGCTGCCTTTCTGACACCTACTTGCATCGCCTACCGCTCATTGTTATAAATTCGCTCTTCAGCTACAGCAGTAGAGACTTACTTCGTATAAATGTATCTTGCAGAGCATCAGCGGGTGCAGCAATTGTTGCGTTCCAAGCTCTGCATTTGTAATAAGCATGTGAGAAATTGAAGTCTCCATAGAACTGAAGCAGAGTTGAAATTTTATAAAAAAAATATAGCAAATATATAAAGGATATTAAGGGTATCCTTCATCGGTGATGTTACTGAAACGATCCCACAGGACCAGGCGCAACTAAAAGGTCAGACTCACTAAGTAAGCCGGAAAAAATTAATGTAACTCATAATGCACCTGTCGTACAAA